TGGAACATGGCTGGATTATGACTTTCCAGAAATCTTGAGAATGTCATCATCCCAACTGACTTTAACTCCATCATTTTTCAGAGGGGTAGGTCAACCACCAACCAGATTACATTTTAGCAAGACAGATTCCTATTTAGCCACATATGCACGTACACTATATGACATATGGACGGAGATACATAGAGAGAGGGAGAGAGAGGGAGAGAGAGAGATACGTTTGAGGTCAGCCATGCTGGGCGAAATCACGGAATAATAACTATATACCGAGTGTCCAAATGAGAACCCCCCTATTTCGACTGATCCCCACCAACTCACTAGAGTATTCTAGCATATGATCTGACATATACTCTCACATTTGGCATTTTATCGACATGTATTCTGACATGTTGAATATCTGAATTAGTGTTACTTTTTTTATCTGATAACTTCAGGCATTGTATCTGACTTTCTATGTGACATTCTGCACATGTTTTGCATTTTATATATGACATATTATGACATAGTTTGCGGGTGCGGCGAGCCCCAGAGAGTCAGACGAGGAGAAGGACAAGGAAACTGACATAAAATCTAGAGACCCATCACCTGTTAGGTGGGGAAGAAAACCGCAACAACAACAACAACAACAACAGCAACAACAGCAACAGCAACAGCAACGGCAACATTAGCAACAATAGTGAGCATTCAACTAACCATAAGTAACCAATTCGGTCAAGTGCGGAGCAATGGGACATTTTGATGGGTCTGCTTCAATTAAACAAAATTTGACTTCCAATCTAAATACAGAAACCACTCAACATATGTTGAAGCATATTTCGCCAAATATGAATCATTTATAGCGACTTCATTCTGACCAACACAACATCATGGTTTCATGCGGTAACCGTCAGGACATTCCCAACGTGAAACTGGTTTAGGCAATACCCTGATGACTAGTCATATAAAATCATATACCCTCTGGTATATAAACATAGACCCTGAAAATAACCAATGTTTAATGGACACTAATCTTCCAAGTCCTATTTGCCAGGGTCTATGTTAATTTACCATAGGCTAATTTGCCATCCAACATGACCCAGCAAATCTCATTCTGGATGCTGCCATATCTTTGGTCGTAAAAAATCTGGTTGTTTTCATGCAAAAAAAATCGTTGGAATCGGAGCATTTGCCCCAAACTTGGCAGGCCATCGAAAAAGATGGCCTTCCTTTTGATTGGCCCGAAAACCCAGTCACCCGATCTGAGAGATGCTGGAGGTGATGTTTTCGTGTTTTCACAAAATTTCAGCGCACCATCCGGCCGTTATTTTTTGTTTAAAGACTAAAACTCATTGAAAAACATTTGCAATCTCAAAAACCACATGGTGGAACTTCAAGGTCCAAATGTTCAATATCAAGCAATGACGCTTCTGACTTTTGATTGTCCGGTGGTTCCTCGTTGTTTGGTGTCTAATGACTTTAACATTGACCCAGTACCATGGGATCCTGTAGATTTGACATGTTACTACAGAGTAGCTGGGCGTACTTTAGCCATGATTTTTGGGCACATTCATGCGGTATTTCAGGTATTTCAACATTTCTTTTTGAGACATTCATCCAACTGCCCATCAACTGCCCATCAGGAGGGTCTGATATGTCAAGGTTCTCAGCAAACCAACCCAAATCAGTGTTTAAAAACGTTCTCAGATTTCCCAGTTTTTATACGTGTCAGTGGAACTGTTTCACAATGAAACGAGATGTCAACAAAACTTATGGGTTTCTCAGTTTTTCAAGACGAGATGTCCATGGCAGAAACCCTGCCCACTGTCTCGAAGAATGGCAAGGTGCGGTGTTATTTTTCATCGCTTTAGAGTCGGAAGCTGAAGAACTGAGACGTGAAGAATACATGGCTTTCTTTGAAAAGATGTTGTCCTAGAAATTGGGATCTGATAATTTGATGGGTATAGACGGTATAGAATGGGATATATTCCCATATTAATGATCGTATATTATCAACATTAATCAATAGCATCATGAATCCAATGGAGTATCAGCACTTTCCCTATGCCTATATTCATTTGGACCATTTGGAGGGTATTAGATGGTATTAGCCAGATTTGCAGACAGAGCCATAGGGAAAAATATGGTGGTCATGATGTGGCTTCATGGGGGGTTGAACCATATTTAACCATTATTCAACCATGTTGAACTGTTGGATATGATTAGTAAAGAATATTAAGTTAACATTTTTCCAAGTTAAGATGAAGAACATGAGTATCCAATTTTGAAATGGACCACTGTTCCACCAAGTGTACAAGTGAATGGTTCATGCACTAGTTCCATCTAATGGTATGTGGCAAGTGCCATTCCCAGCACCTGAGCCACTGATCATGCGGTGATGTGCCAATACTCATCTGACCATCAAAATGGGAGATGGACATCCATTTATGCAGCAGGCAGTTTGACGTATTTACCCGCTAATTTGATATAAAATCCCAGGGGAAATCCAACATAGTAATACACCATGAATACCTCGCACCAAGGTTGATGGTCTAATGATGTTGTCACATTCATGAGCTATGCTGATCCACAGCCATAGCTGAGGCTTTGGATAGTCAGCTTACCCCAAGTGCCGTGGCTCTTGGACAAGATCTATTTCGTGACCCGACGAATCAGGGGGAATAGCCAGCATTTGCAGCTTAAAGATCTTAAAGTACGTGCGATGACTACAGAACAATGGGGCCTTTTAAAATGAATAAAAAATGAATAACTCCAATCCCCCACTGGTGGGTTTCGACATTGAACTCATTGAACTCATTGAACATTGAATGTTTGGGATCTGGCAGATTCACTGATGTTCACTGTGTCCCAGCCATTGGTTGTTGAAACTTTGACGAGGCGATCGCGTTGGTGTTTCAGCTGCTGATGGTGTTGGGGCCTGAGGATTCGCGGATTGTGTAGTGATCTATACAGTACGGATCTAATTTTATTTACCCTCTGGCTATTTACCATAGCCATGCGAAATGGCCCATAGAAATAGATGGTTTACCTGGGTTTACCTATAAAAAATGGTGATTTTCCATGGCTATGTTAAATAACCAGATGGTAATAATGCCAACCCAGTAAACTATATTGCATTATCATAGATAATTATATATATATGTACTTTGCAAGAAACACCGGCACTATCAACTATCAATCTATCAACTATTGCAATATTCTCGCCTTGTGATAGTGAATTTTAGTATTTGGGTTAGATATAGTGTTGTTTTCTTTGCTGTTAGTTTCATACATGTTAAATCATATTGATGCAACTCGTTGTGACAAAAACTATGAGTCCCTTGTTCTTTCAATTTTGACGGAGATGGGTTATATCATGCGACAGTGCCGAGAAAATCAGATGGATTGCTCCTACAAAAGATGCCACACCCTGCCGACCCCTGTGATTGAGCTTTGAACACATACCAACATCCGGAACTTGGATAGTTTAAGTACCAGTGAGAGCCATCCCCAAACAAGACAAACAAAGCATTTGGATGGCTTAGTGAAACTTAATTACTCTAAAATCAACTATACGGTTCCGTATAGTTGAAGCATGCAAATAGACTGTGTAGGGTGTACAATATAGTTCGAAATCTTGGAAGTAACGGAAGTAACTATTCACTTATTCAGTCAAGATACGCACAAGAAGCTACGTCAAAGTAGATAGACAATTAACCTCCACCACAAGTAGTGCGGCACCAATACGGCTATGTGTCAGAAGTATCAGCCTCAGCCTCCATAAAATTGGAGTCTTTATCAATCACTTCAATAGTAGAGGTTACCCTCTGGTAATCTAACATGCCTATGGACAATTACATTTTTTAAAGAGTAAATCAACTATTTCTATGGGCCATTGTCAATAGCTATGTTACCCTCTGGTAAACTAACATAACTATCAAAAATCACCATTTTTAATGGGAAAATCCACTATAAGTGGCCATTTTCCATAGCTATGTTAAATTACCAGAGGGTAGTTTACCAGAGGGTAACATTTACCCTCAATCACTGTGTGACTTGACCCCATCCCTAGTGACCATGCGGAGGTTTGCATCCTGCCCTTTGCCCCGCAGTTTGGGCGAAGGCTGCCGAGATGAATCAGTTGGAAAGGGAGAAGCACCGAAAATCCAACAGAAGACTTGGATAACACAACGTAAAAGTTGAATTTAATTATATTATATTATATTCATATATTTGTGTTTTTTGTTTTAATAATTGACTAAATCATTAATAAATAATAAATGATACATACTTGAATCATTTTTGTTTGTTGTTTTGATTGTTCATTTTCCATCTGGGATCTCCTGAATTGATGACTCCGCAGAGAAGCGTGTCGGCAATGACTAACTGTTGCTGTCCGCATCGGTGCTCCATGCCCATTTTTCTTGGTTCACAAGACCCCATGTTTTGTCTTGTTGTATTCCCATGTTGGCATTGGCGACGATGGCAATGATTTTTCAGTTGGTTGTGTCAGTATCGTGGCATGAATTGCAGCTGTTATCCACAAGCCATACTCAATCACAAGAGGATGACTTGCTTGGGCCAATGAGGAAGCCGTTGCGCAGCTTGCTTAACTGTGTTGACTATGACATACTATCAGACTGCCAAGGCCCTCAAATTTCACCTCCAAAATGCATCTCACAATCAAACCGCAAGACGCAGGTCACCCTAAAGTTGGCTTACGCTTACTGATCCACCAACAAAGATATTATATGATATTTTTAGATCCATTTTTTTTGCCACCGTTCAAACACTAGCTAGATATAGATACCGTATATCCACCATTTCTAAACTCACGTGTTTATGTACCCGATCCTTGCAAATGTATTCCGCCAAACTATAGCGATATTATGAACTATCACTATATATATATATATACATATACACTTTCTAAACATATATATATATATATATGTAGGTATAGATTGATATTATCCATCCACCCCCAACCCTGACATCAACACTTCTATGGCGCCTTTTGTCAAATTTCAACATCATCGCACCACGTGGCCATGCTTTGCCGCTGGCGCCATGACCTCGATTTTTTCCTGGGACGTTCACGGCGCGAACGCCGGGAACGCCTTCCTTCCGGGCGTCGGTGAAGACATCGACAGCGACGTCGGGGGCTCTGGAGGCCGGAGGGACTGTGAAAAGTGGGAGATTACTGAGGTACCCCTCTGGTAATCTAGTTGGTGGTTTCAAACATTTTTTATTTTCCATCATATATGGGTTGTCATCCTTCCCATTGACTCATATTTTTCAGAGGGGTAGGTATACCACCAACCAGTAATTGGATGAACTAATAATGAAGGATTGGACTAAAAGGATTTTTGTGGATTACTATGGAGTCGGGATTCTCTTTTCATAGGACAACTGGAAGGATTGGACTATACCCTCTAGTAGACTAACATAGCTATTGAAAATGTCCCAAGAAATAGCTGATTTACCTAGGACCTATTAAGAATGGTGAGTTTCCATAGTTATGTAAAGGTTTACCATAGGGTAAATCCAACAAGAAATCCATAATTTGGGCCATAATTCTTGGATTCACCTCAGTGATTGTTGGGAAAAATCCTCATAGAACCTCTATTTAGGCTGGTATACCACTTATTATGGTTTATTATACCTTTATACCTTTTGCCCCTATTTGGGATAATGTTGGTCAACGGGATTGTTTATTGTTGGCTTTACGAATTATTATCCCACTACTTGATATCATAATCCACTATGGAAATCCCGAAGAAAACCAGTGTTCTCATGCAACCTTATACCAATATTACATAATTTCAATATATAATATAGTTTGTTTTTGTTGGTTTTCATGTAGCCATTCATTGGGGAATTCCATTCCTGATGGAATGAACTTGGTATATATATATTATACGGAAACAACAGGTTTGCCGATGTGGGTCGCACTTTGATAGCCCAAAGTCTGCATGGAATTCGTAGGTTTAAGCTCTGTGAATGACCTTAAAAGCATCAAAAGAAATGGCGAAACAGTGAGATGCCGCCATGAAAACTACACTTGATGGTTATGATTTATGATGGTTAGTTTATCGCTCCTGGTTTACAAGAAAAAACTTTTGGGAAATTCAAGAATGGGAATATTCGGAAAGCCATGGAATATGGCTTTGTCAGATGGGCTATACCATCAAAATCACCATTGAAAAATGGGGAGAATGTCAATAATCCGTTCAACTTGGGGTGCCAAATTTTCCATCAAAACCATATCTACAAATCAACCATTGAGTTTTGGATATTGTTCATGGCTCCGCCGATATGACCAGGTTGCGCCAAGTTGGCACATGGAGAGCTGATCTCTGTCCCTTGATGCAGGTATTTTTGATAGGCGGTCTATTCATAGATACATATTATTGTACATGATATTTTTGTGACTTTTTAGTAAGTATATACAGTATATCACAGTAATTATATCTGCATATTTATTTGCATATTTCTTAGTATTTTATTTGCAGAGAATCATATATTTTATGCAGAAGTCTCTCATGGATTTGTTTGGTTCATCAGACCTCCCCAGATCCGCTACGTAGTGAATCACCACAGGGACGATGCGGCAGCCGTGGACAACTCAAAAAGCACGAATCTTAGTTCTTCAAGGTGGTCCCTTTATCCCAGTTATTTTTATGGCTTAATTCATCCCAAATGAAAACTAGTTGACTAGATATATCATGATATATCATGATATATCATGATATATCATGATATATCATGATATATCACCAACAAAAACCATAGTGACATTGGACAAACATTTCAACCAACAGCGATTCCGATCTGGGGCACCACCCTCTTTAAACCAATGGCAACAGTGTCTGGCCGGGCCAGACATACATGCAATACCAAACATACATGCCATACATACCATACATACCATACTTACCTGACATTGCAAGCATTCCATACCCATCATAAAAACCATGCATACCATACAGACCATACATACTGTCATATCAAACATACCATACCCAACAGACTTTCATACCATACCTACCATCCATACAATACCAACCATTCATGCCATACATACCATACCTACCATACATACCAAACATACCATACATTCCAAACATGCCATACATAATACATACCATACCAACCATACATGCCAAACATACCATACATATCAAACATGCTGTACATGAGAGAATTACATACCATACTCACCATACCCGCCATGCCATATATCTTGTCATACATACACTACACCCCCCCGCACCACACACACCCCACCACACCACAGGGGAGGGACAGTACTATGGCTGACCCATGACCATGGGGGGGTTGCATATATACATACACATACCAACTAAGCATTTCTACACAGACCCCCATCTAGACATCAACCCACTTACGCCCGCCACTTACACCGAGGTGAACTTTTGGGGCATTTGCGACATCAAATACGACCCCCGCAATCGAAAGGGCGAACGCATCCGCGTGTTGGAACTGGGCGACGGACGCAGTTCGCGCTTCTCACATCATGGCAGGTACATCAAGGAGAAATTTGACTCGAGGCAGAAAGACGGAGGGATTTTTTGGGGACACCAACAAACATGATGCTGTAGCCAACAAATCTAGTTGCTTCATGGTAAGTTAATGAAACTAAAACGTATAAGTTTGCCATATTTTTGGGGGATGAACATTCATCAGTTATTTTTGGTGTGAACAGAAGGGTAGCAGGGTTTTGACCCACAGCCACTTGATGATACATTGATTTATTGTGATTTATAATCATCTAATATTGATAATATATGGGTATTATATGTGGTGATTTTGGTCACCAATCTGGGGTTGACACAGGCTGGTCCTATTGAATAGGGTACACCACGGTATACCCCAAAATCTGCAATGTTAACAAGGAAGTTCATGATAAGGCAACCAGGCATTGGTTGTTGGGCTACCCCATGTTCAGACAAACCCCGATAGGAAGGTCATCCCAACACATTGCCATTTCAGCCGCAAAAAACGGAGGTACTGCATGGTGCGTGCGCCCATCAAACGTGCGGTCATGACGGAGAACAAAAAGTTCACGCATGACATGATCCTTGGATACAGCATGCTACCTTTGTGAGTTGTGCTAGTTGATGTTATGTTGCTTACTTTTGGTTTGTCGCGTAAAATTAGTTGTGTTTTTGTTTCTAAAGCATGTGTGAGTTTGGAATGATTATAATCTATACAAGTGCGTTTTAGTTTCAAGAAGGGCAATTCCAATGCATTGCTGCTCACGAGACCCACTCTGAGTTACCCAATGTTTTGCTACACCGTGTGCCATGGTCAAAATTCCTTAAATAAACGAAACTGTCATTTTTGGTTGGGTTTCCTTGTGCCTGGAATATCAACCTTATTCACAGCCAGGAGCCATGATCCAATTTGGGGCAGGGTCCTCTTAGAAACAAGCGCATATGAGGCTTTCCTAGGCCCAAAGTCATTGATGTCCTCGATTTTCCTGAAAAAACACCCAGCACTTGGAGGATAAATCACTTGAGGGAAACCCATGGAGACCCCAAGAACTTGGATTTGCTGAATGTGATGTTGAAGAATACTTGGAAAAATATCTTGGAAATATGGGTTTTCCATTTTGGAATCCGGAAAATATGGGCGGAAATATCTGCGTTGCAGGTTCGTTCAGGAGGGATTTGCCAGTCTGCGACCGCCCACGGTTGCCTATGAACGGCGTTACACGCCCAGCTTGGCAGGCACGTGACGGAGCTATTTCTGGGTACTGGAGCTATTTCGGCACATGTTGATGTGATATTACCCTCTCGCAATCCAACAGTTTGCTATGGAAAATGGGTTAAATTTAAAAGGCTGATTTTCCAGCTCGCAAAGTGTTAGTTTACCAGAGGGTAAGTGAATTCATCATTAGTCAGCATGAAGCACCATTATTAAGCACCATGAATTTATCACCATTAATCACCATTCATCAACCAGCAGTGACATGTTCGCAAAAAAGTGGATACTGTTAATATGTGAACAATAAAATATAAGTGGATACTAATCAGTGATGCAGTATATGTGGGTTTGTCCAAAACTCCGGCAAAAAAGTAAGCCTCAACTCCACTGATTCTGACAAACTCAGATTCCCGCTGATCGGCCGTTGTTCAACGGGCTGTGCCCCATGTTCAGACAACCTCGTTTGTATATGATATATATATATAATATATGATATATAATGATATATATATATATATATGATATATATATATGATATATATATATATATATATATTATATATGATATCTTTATATATATATATGATATAATGAACTAAAGCAACCACTTTGTCGTGTAAAAAACTAGCGACAGCCCAGCCGCAGCCACATGTCTCATGGTCACCACCAGAAGAATAAGTACTGTTCACCACCAGAAGAGTATCCAGTATCCTCCTGGAGCTATTAATTGAGGAAACACATAAGTTATTTTTTAATCGAGAAAAACATATGTAAATCCATGCGTTTCTCTTGGTTCTATCACTATGCTATACTGCCAATACCGCTATAACCGTAAAATTACATCTAAAAATGGCTTTGTTTCACACCAAAATCAGTATAGTATATGATTTGGTTGGTGGTTTCAAACATTTTTTATTTTTCCATAATATTGGGAATTTCATCATCCCATTTGACTTTCATATTTTTCAGAGGGGTAGGCTCAACCACCAACCAGATAATCATCGGGCTGGTCCAACCCACGGATTGCAGGTTCCATCCTGAAAGACTTGGAAATCCCTCGCGGCGGCGCGGTGGTTTTGAAGCTCTGCAATCGCTCCCGCGGTGCGGGCGTGGTGGTAGTGTCCCGGCGGTGCTAAGCAGCCGGAAAAGATGTTTCAAAGGGCAAAGGCAGCCCTTTTCTGGTTGGTGGTTTGGAACATGTTTTCATTTTCCCCAATAGCTGGAATGATGATCCAATCTGACTTTCACATTTTTCAGGGGGGTTGAAACCGTTGTTTATGGCCAATGTCATATCATTTCATGGCGAATATGATGCTGAAGCAGTGGATTGAAATCTTATTACTATCCCATTGCATAATTTTATCAGGGCACACATGCGCGTTAATGAAATTACCGGATAAATGATAAACAAATGTTGCTAATCCCATCTTTGTTGATGGCTTGGCCGTTGGGAAAAAGCGTGCTATCCACGAAACGTGGGCGACGGTTCCAAGGTTTAGAAAATCGTTTGGACCACCATTTCAAGGGTCGACAAGGCGAGTTTTCAAGTTATGAGACCATTACTTGTTGGTCAATTCCACCACGGTTTTACCCTCTGGTAAACTGCCACATAACTATGGAACATAACCATTTTTAATGGGAAAATCAACTATTTCTATGGCCATTTTCAATAGCTATGTTGAATTACCAGAGTGTACTTGAGGCTGACGTGTTCTAGTGCTCCAGCCACATTTCCAGTGTGTAATCAAACCTGGCAGTTGAACATCCACCAGATAATAGTTGACTTTCCTCAGACTTCCATGTATTGGATACCTAGAAGAACCCTTAGGCACTTTTTTCTGCCCTCGGCGCCTAGGCAGCCGCATAGGCACTTTCACCCGGAAGTTTGCAAAACTCGGCAGATTTATATTGCTGTAGGCATTTTTATCTCAAGATGTTTTTTGTGCTCCGACATCATTTGTGCCTAGGCATTTTTACCCAGAAGTTAGGCGGAAAAACCCGGAATCTAGGCGTAAAAAACCGGAATCTAGGCGGAAAAAAGCGGAATTAGGCGGAATTTTGTTCGAAACATTTTTCTGCACTGAACAACATGACAAGACCATACACAAATTTATCAGCCTCGGCATTTTTTTTGGGCCTAGGCATTTATTCTGGGAATCGGCAGAAATAAACGCCTACAGGCAGGTTAGGCACTTTTTTCTGCCTAGAGGAGTTTGTAGGTATGTGCCATTGTCATTGACTACCATGTTACCATATGGATCCATATGGTAGAAATCCCACTTTGTGACCACCAACTCTTCCCTGCCCCGTCCTTTTTGGAGTATTTTTTTAGTTAGGCCCCAACTCGACTAAGGTCACCGATGCAGAACTCGACAACGTTTTGCAGAAGTTGCAGCTTGACGAAACGGCTTTTTCCGGCACCTCTAAGGTGTATATTAATACACCGGAAACAAAGACATACGGTAAAGTCAGACGAAGAAGACATGTGTTTTTAACACCAAAAAAACAACACATTCTATATTGGGGATACATTAATCCGTGACCATGGATGTTTTTTGGCATTTTTTGCGGTGTATCCCAAAGTGGGGATACCCAAAAATGGTGAGTTTAATGATACACATTCATTTGGATTTTGGGGATACTCGTCTATTTCAGGCATGTTTAAGCGGCTTTTGCAGCAAGCCGGGGTTACAAGTTTCTTGTTGACTTCAAACTAAAAATTACGTTTGAATGTGATCATATAAAAACACAACTTTAAAAGAATATACTCTGGGGATCCAATCCTATCCTGATAGATCCTGTGTGAATGATAGTGGATGCTCCAATCACATCGTCCCCTGATCTATTGATTGGGGTTACCCTCTGGTAAACTAACAGTTTGCGAGCTGGAACATCACCATTTTATAGCTGGGTAAATCAACTATAATCAACTATTTCGACTGGGCCATCTTCAATAGCTGAGTTATAGTCATTACCAGATATGCCCATTCTATTTCAATTCGCATTATGACATGGATGACCAGAAGCCATTCATCCCATGACCATGGCAACCATGGCACGTCTGGTCCCAGATGGTTTATATTCCCACTTCCTATTTCATATCCCCATGTCATATCACCATCTCCGGTTGCATATTCATATTTACCACGTTTAAGTGACATGGGGATATGTATGCATTTTCGTTTTCTCATAGATATGACATGGGAATATGTCATGCTGTGGTGTTTTCGCTCCTCTATAGATCCAAAAACGACAGTTAAAATGCGTATATAATATCCGACTAAAATTGTGATAGTACCTATATATCCCAGTATATCCTTTTTTAGTACCTATATAGGTATCCTATGTATGTATCTATATATGATGTACCTATATATGTATCCTTTTCAACTATTGCTAGCTACACCTGCCATTCCTTTTCCCCCATGTTTGGATACATCATATCCCGAATATCGCCATTATCTTCAAAACAAGTTCCCCAACAAGATCGACATTTTCCATCTTTTTGAGGATTACTTTTTTTGTTGTCAAACACCCTTTGGTAAACATATTAAAAAAACATGGAAAATCACCAGTTTTAATAGGTAAATCAACTATAGATGGGTCATTTTCAATAGCAAACTGTTAGATTACCGGAGGGTATGGGTCAAAACCCTGGTACCTAGATTACCTAGGTATCCTAAGATAATCTAAAATAGCTGACTAATCGATGTATATTCCCCCTTTTATATGGTAAGTTCATAGGTTTTGACTCATCCCCATGTCGTTTCCAATCGTATCTTTTCAAGCGACTTGTCAGGCTGCTGCCCCCGGAGAACCTCGAGGACTGGCTCGAAGAGAAGCGAACTGCCAAAGATCTCCTGCAGGACGGAACTGAACAGTTTTTCGTTTTTTTTTTTTACAGAAGAAAAATATTTGCATTTTGCAAACACAAAGGGTGGTATAATAGGATAATATAGGATAATTATATATATATATGATTTTATGTATGTATACATATATTGCGAATAGAGTGTAGGCTACGGATCAAGTATAATATCACAACTAAACACTCTGTGATCCAGCACCAAAGGGGCAATCCGAACTGGCCTCTTTGGCTCAAGACCCACTGCAGCACTGGAGAAAAGATCAGCAATGCGGAAGCAGCTGCCCGTGTGACGTCGTCGAACTGGAACATTTATTCTCAACATCAACCATTGGAACATAATCGGGCAGGCAATCCCCGATTCGCAGGTTATCAGCCGTAGGACTCCTACGGAGCCTACGAGCGGGGAGCCGCGGGCCTTACAGATGACTGAACAGGATAGCAGCGATAATGCATTTTCTTTCTCTGGACATGCCGTTGCACCAGCTGCCGGCACGCAGTCAAATTCTTCACAGAGTATCGACACTGGTGGAAGCGATGCCTCAGAACTGAGAACAAGCCAACCCAGGCGACATCTGGTTGCTCCTAGAGGGAGACAAATTTCGACAATGCAAGCAATTGAAGATAGGGACAGCACACCTGGAAAGAGAAGATCATCTGCACGACAATTGTCGCCTCCGATGACTCCAAGGACTAAGGCAAAGACTACGTCGTCGAATCCGCCTTCACCGATTCAGGACGCTACTCCATCAGGGACAGGATCTTATCAGCAAGTGAATGCCCCGTCAAGTGGTAGCGACATCTTCACTGCCTATCAGAGTGAATTAGCTGAGTACAAAACATCACTGGAAAGGGCCACTGAAGAAGAATCTGTACTTCAGGCAAGATTGAGTGAGACGACAGCATATGCCTATCAACAATTTAATTTCCTGGAAAGCACCACTCATCAAGAGATGATGTCGATGACCGAACAACTCCAGATGCTGAACTTCGAGTTACAGGCTGCACAACAGGAAGATGAAGGTGCGACCTACAGGATCGAAGAGTTGGAAAGGTATCAGACTATGTCGAATGAAGCTGCATCTCATTTGGAATTCAAATATTCACGACTACGTTCGGAATTCGATGAACAAATGGGACAAGCAAACGCAATTATGGTACATGTGGGAACTGACGCGAATGCTCACATCAATCAACTCAGACTGGAACTGGAAAACGCAGAGATGAATGCCAAGCAAGAAGCTCTAGCAGTCGGCTATGCTAATGACCAAACATGTGCGTTGCAGATCGAGATGCTCGAGGTTGCCAATCAGAACCAGACGATGAAGCACACCATGGCCATGAATGTCAGGCGACTGGAAACTGAGTTAGATGCTGCTGACATGAAGAGGGACGAGATCATGAAGGAGTTCCGTAGTAACATAAGATCTGAACATGACCGTTATGCAGAATGTGAACATCACTTAGCTTTGGAAGAATCACAGCTTCGATTACAGGTGATCCACAGTGAGAACTTACAATCTCGACTAGCGATTTCTGAGAACAGGGTTTCTGAAGAATCTCTAGCTGAATCAGGTGGCATGCGGGACATGAGGATAATGGGACTACGTTCTGAACTACACATGAAACAAAGTCTTTTAGATCGAATGCAACAGCAACTGACTGAATCGAAGAATCAGTATCATGAACTTTCCTGTCAACAAGCCAGAAGATCTTCACCAAGCAGATCACCGCATGGAGGACCTATATACGAGATGTACATGCAAGCCGTGCGTGAACGTGACAGCTTGAAAGAATCCAAGGCCGAAGTTGACAAGTTGTACTTGCAGAATAGATCTGAACTCATTGACACTGAGGACCTGCTCAAAGTCTTCCAGCGAAACTTTGATGAAACTGGTAAGAAATATCAAGATGCTCTGAACAAGATCGATCACATGAGCAACAATCCGAATGTGACGAGTACCTTGTTTGACAGTTTGCACAATGAACTCAATGACAGGGATACAGCTATTGCTCGCTTTCATACTGAACTTGAAGCCCAAAAGGACTCTCTTGAGCGTGCTCACAGGGATGCAGGTAAGTCCATCAAGATGTTGAACGACAGAAGGCTCGTGATCAAAGGTGCGACTGACTATTCCATTCCTGAAAGCCATTTGACCGAGATGCATCAATTGGCCAATGAGCGTTACGCTGAGGTAGAAGAAATGTCGAGCACCATTGCTGCCCTGAAGTTGGAAAACCAAGCTCATTCTTCTTCATCAATGAATAGACCGACTACATTACATGGGTACCCCAGTAATGCCATGCCTCGGAATGAATGTGAAGAGAAGTGTGCCAAACTGAAAGCAGAGTTGGACGAGATGAAGCAAGAGAGGAACGCTGAAGTTCGAAATCTTCAAGATGAGTTGAAGAAGATGGAAGATCGTAAAGATTACTATAAGAACAATTTCTCTCAAGCTGAAGATCGTGCCAATGATGAAGAGCAGGAATACCGAGCAGAAGCTGAAGCCTTCGAGAAGCTCAGGAACGAGTACAACACAAATGTCAAGGAGTTGGAGAACCTTGAAAGGGATAGATCCAAGTCATCTGTATCTCTAAGAGAAGCCGAAAAGATCAGCCTCCAACCCTGGCCTAAGACCACTGAACTTTCATCCTGGAAGGGAAGTGTCGTTCATGAAGTTTGCGTTGCAAGTGGAGATCGAAACTATGAAGATTGGAAGGCGTGGTTAGCTCCGTGTCTTGCAGATCAACCTGACTTGGAGGCGCTGGCCAAAGCTCCTGATGTGAGATTCCAATCCATTGATGCCAAGCTCTCCAATGCCTTGAGGAAAGTCATTGACAATGCTGGGGACAAGTCCATGCAAGTGAAGTATGACATGTCCATGAAGAACCAATTGTATGGGAGAAGTGGGGACTTCATCAAGGGACGAGAACTATTTGCAATGATATTGATTAGCTTCAAGTCACCTGACCACACTGAAGTTCTCTACAATGCCCATCATTTGTATATGTTCAACTACTATGGAGACGACCAACTTGAGGCCTTCTACAACAAGTGGCTTGACATCGTATACAATATGAAACATGATGATCTGCCTTCCAACAATTCCCTGCGTGACACATTGTTCCGGAAGATTGAACATTCAAAACTTATGGCCTTCGATATCAACCGATACAAAACCTTTGATGAAGGGCATCATGAGAAGACCTATGCTTACCTAACTGGTATGATCAAGGGATACATAGCACGAGGGAAGCAAGAACGACTGTTGAAAGATAGAGAACGTGCAGTGAAACTGTCATTGTCCTCTAACAAGACGACACCTGCCTTAGAAGATGCAGACAAGCCTGCCGCTCCCGTCAAGACCAAGAAGGAGAATGAAGCGGCCGCATCGTCTACAGGTGATCCTCCCAAACGTCCTAAGGCGAAAGCGAAGAGTGAAGCTGCATCGGTACTTCCTACACCTTCTCCGAAATCCCATGCCGACAAGAACAACAAGAAAGGCAAAGGTGGGAAGGGAAGATCATCTTCACCCGTTGACAAGAAGAAGATTTTCTGTAACTACTTCTTCAATAAAGGAGGATGCAACAAAGGTGACAAATGTCTTTACAGTCATTCTCAGAAGGTCTATGATGCCAAGATGAAAGGTAAGAAAGGCAGAAGCGGAAGTCGAGATTCATCAAGAGGGAAAGGTAGAGGAAGTTCATCTTCAGCTGGACCCAAAAAGAAGGTATGTTGGAATTGGCAAGAAGGTACCTGCAAGTTCGGAAACAAATGTAAATTCCTACATGCAGATAAATCGCCTTCAGCATCCTCAGAGAGAACCAGCAAGAAGACACCAAAGAAGAAGGCGACTCCCATTACCATTGATTCCTTCTTTGATAGCGACAATGAAGATTCCATGGATTATACCTCACCGAGGATAGCCAGTGCAAAGAAGTCTTCTGATGATCGCAGGATCTCATTTGATCTGGAACCTGAGGTGCACGAGATCGCCATTGAGGACTACCAGGAGGGACTACCCAAACGTATGTATCGTGACCCCAACAAGCAATATGTTTTCTGGAAAGTCAATGATTTGACCGACGATCAGTCCAAGTCCGACAACATCCTCGGTTCAGTCCGAGCACGGGCCAAGGCTATCATCATGGACAGATGTGGACTCCATCGTTTTGTTGATGAAGTTAGAATCATTATTGGCCCCAAGTTCGACATGTTGATCAAACTGGACAATGATCGTGATGACTTGACTTTTATTGAAGAGCTTGTTGAACACGAAGTTGGAAACTCCCTCATGAAGTCCAAGAACATAATGTGCATTTCACTACCAGTGCAAGCCAAAGATCGTAGATTCATCCTGGATTCTGGCAGCGGGCATGATCTGATTTCTGCAAGGAAAGCCGAAAGGATGAACTTGAAGCAGCGAACTTGTGATCCTATCATGTTCCACACAGCCAACGGTTCAACTGCTACTCAGACAGAAGCAGAGATTGACCTGGGAACCTTTGATGTGACCTCTCATGCCTATGTACTGGACGACACTCCGTCCGTGATGTCTCTTGGGAAACGATGCATGGAAGAAGGATATTCCTTTGTATGGCCATCTGGTCAAATGCCTTTCATGATTACGAAGAATGGAGAACGCATCGATTTGACAATCCATGACAACATCCCCTACGTTGATCTTGGAACTTACGAATGCACTCCTCATGAATGTCATCATGCATCAAAGATCCATGACCTATTGATACATCCTCAAATCGGAGTCAATGATTTCAACGACATTGATGATGTTGGTCAACCCTCACGAAGAGTACATCTCGATGGAGAAAGTGGTCTTGAGACATCAACTGAGGATCACAACTGTTCCCGATATGTCAAGAAGCTCAAGGTGAAGAAGAAGAAAAGAGCAATGAACCGGCAGAAACATTCAGCAACCCCAGGAGAAGAAGAAGAAGAACCACCTGAGGGCGGCGAGTACGAACCAGGAACTCCGATTGAC